CGGCGCGCGCGAGGCGGAGCGCTGGCGCCGCGCTTTCCTGCGCGCCGCCGCGCTCACCGCGCCCGTCTTCGCCGTGGCCATGGTCCTGCCCCACCTGGCCTGCATGGCTTGGCTGTATCAAACTCAACTGGCGGGCTTCCCCGCGGACCAGGTGCTCAAGTGGGCGCTGGCCACGCCAGTGCAGTTCGGCTGCGGCGCGCGGTTCCACGTGGGAGCCCTGCGCGCACTGGCGCGCCGCGCCGCCAACATGGACGTGCTGGTGTCGCTGGGCACCAACGCGGCCTACTTCTACTCCCTGCTCTCCATCCTGCACCACCACGCCGCCTCCCACCACCAGACCCTGGCCTACAAGCCCACCGACTTTTTCGAGACCGCCGCCATGCTCATCACCCTGGTGCTGTTTGGCAAGTACCTGGAGGCGGGGGCCAAGGCGCAGACGGGCGCGGCCCTGGCCGCGCTGTGCGCGCTGGCCCCCGCCACTGCCATCCTGATCGAGGGGGGCGGCGACGAGGGCGAGCAGCATGCAGACGGGTGGGTTGCCCCCGACGCCCCGGGCACGCGCCCCGAGCCCGCCGCCGCCGACCCCTCCCCCTCCACGACGGAGCGTGAGATAGACTGCGCCCTGGTGCACGTCGGCGACCTGCTCAAGGTGCTGCCCGGCGCCCGCGTGCCCGCCGACGGCGTGGTGGCGAGCGGGGCCGGGCACGTGGACGAGAGCCTGCTGACGGGCGAGGCGGCGCCCGTGGCCAAATCCCCCGGCGACGCCGTGGTGGGCGGCAGCCTGAACCTGCGCGGGACGCTGCGCGTGCGCGCGACGCGCGTGGGCGCCGACTCCGCGCTCTCCCAGATCGTGCGCCTGGTGGAGGGCGCGCAGCTGGCCAAGGCGCCCATCCAGGCCCTGGCCGACCGCGTGTCAGCGGTGTTCGTCCCCATCGTCGTGGTCCTGGCCTCGATCACGTTCGGCGTCTGGTATGCGGCCGGGCGCGGCGGCTGGTACCCGGCCGCCTGGCTGCCGGAGGGGCACACGCCCCTGCTCTTCGCCCTCCTTTTCGGCATCGCCGTCCTGGTCATCGCCTGCCCCTGCGCGCTGGGACTGGCCACGCCCACCGCGGTCATGGTCGGCACGGGCGTCGGCGCGGCGCACGGGATCCTGATCAAGGGGGGCGACGCGCTGGAGCGCGCCGCGGGCGTCACCCACGTCGCCTTTGACAAGACAGGGACGCTGACCGCGGGGCGGCCACGCGCCGTGGACGTCGCCGTCTTCGCGCCGGGCGTGGCCGCCTCGGACGCCGCCCTGCTGGCCGCCGCGCTGGAGCAGGAGAGCGAGCACCCGCTGGCGGGCGCGGTGCTAGCGCTGGCCGCCGGCCTGCTGGCCGCGGAGAAGGGCGGCGGGGGAGCGGGGGCGGAGGATCGCGACGGGGCGAAGCCAATCGCGCTGGCCTGCCCCGCGCCGCCCGCCGCCGCCGCCGCCGCCGGTGCGGGCCTGCCCCACCAGCGCATGCAGGGCCTGGCGGGGCGCGTGCCCGTCGTGCACGATTTTCGTGCTTTCCCTGGCGAGGGCGTCAGCGGCCGCGTGCCGCTGTACCGGGACGCTGGTGGTGCGCAGGCGGACGCCGCCGGCAGCACCAGGCCCTGGACGACGGCGCGCGGCGGCGGCAACGCGCTGCGCCTCACGTCACAGCACAGGTCCTGGTTCGCCGCGCCCGACCGCCTGCGCTCTGCCGCGGGCGCCTCGGGAGCAAGCGAGCTGGAGGTCGCGGTGGGCAGCGCACGCTTCCTTGAGCAGCGCGGCGTGGAGGTCGCGGGGGACGGCGCGGCGGACGCCTATGTCCGCGCCGCGCAGGCGCGCGGCTGCACCGTCATCCTGGTGGCCGCGGGCGCCGCGCTGCTGGCGGCCGTGGCGGTGGCCGACCCGGTGAGGCCCGAGGCGCACGGCGTGGTGGCGGCGTTGCGCGCCGCCGGCGTCGGCTGCACGCTGCTGACCGGGGACAACTGGCGCACCGCACGCGCCGTGGCAAGCCAGCTGGGCCTGGACCACATCGTGGCCGAGGTGCTGCCAGCGGGGAAGGTGGCCGCGCTGCGCGCGCTGCAGGCCGCCCCCGGCGCGGTGGTGGCCATGGTCGGCGACGGCGTGAACGACGCGCCTGCGCTGGCCGCCGCCGACGTGGGCGTCGCGGTTGGCTCCGGCGCCGACGTCGCCGTGGAGGCGGCCGACCTCGTGCTCGTGCGCAGCGACCTGGAGGACGTGCTGGGCGCGCTGGGCCTCGCGCGCGCCACGCTGCGCCGCATCCGGTGGAACTACGCCTTCGCGTTGGGGTACAACGCGCTGGCCATCCCCGCCGCCGCGGGCGCGCTCTACCCGTTCTTCCGCGTCCAGCTGCCGCCCTGGGTGGCGGGGGCCTGCATGGCCCTCTCCTCCGTCTCCGTCGTCTGCTCCAGCCTCATGCTGCGGCGACACGTGCCGCGGCGCCGCGTCCTGCGCGACGTCCTCGTCGTCAAGGGGCGGGAGGAGGCGGCCTGAGCGTGCGCTCGGTGTCGCCCCCCCTTGATGATCCACTTCCCTGTGCTCTTCATGCCTTGGTGTCGGCCGTCGTTATGCACCCCCCCCTCTTCTTGTTCCTCCCTGTACGTCCTCATGTCATGCTGGATGATATGCTCCCGTTGCACGCGCGAGCGAGCTCGATGTAACACCCCGGTACTCGCCTGGTTGATTCCATGCATGTGTCTCCAGTGAGAGAGGAAGCTGCGCGGCACGTCGCACGCATGCTTAAATTAACCCTTGCCCCCTTACATGCACCTTGCGCCCCCCATCGAAACAGTAAGCTGCACTGTCGGTTGTATTCACACACCAAGCACATAAACCATCCCTAGTCCGAGCATAGGGCCGTGGGCAGCATGCCCATCGTTGGACAGAACCTGCAGGAGACCACGCCACAGGACACACGGTGCGGGTGCATGGGTGGCATGCGCGCATGGATATGTGTGATGCACGGCGCAAACCAGTGTGATTTTGAATACGTCGATGAACAGGGGGGGGGGTTCTTCGTGCCCCACGCGGGATGGACGGGGAATGTCCACGCCGATCCCCCGGAGGGGATGCCCATGACGACGACTCGCATGTCGGGCCTGCCAGGCGCTGCGCGGCGAGCCCCGGATTCCAAGCCAGACACTCCCTCCCCCCCCCACACTCTCGCAGGGACCCAGCGTCCTGGCCATCCGTTGACAGTCGGCGCCTCCTGCGCGTGGCCCTGCACGTGCGCCAGCTGCAGGACGCCACCCGCTTCTACAACGAGATCCTGGGCCTGCTGCTGGTGGCCCCCCTGGACGTTCCCGGGGCCCCCATCCAGCGGGCCCTCCTGTCCTCCGACCTCTCCCCCTCCGCCTTTGGCCTGGAGCTGCTGGCGGGGGGGCCCGCGCTGGAGGCCCTGGCGGGGTCCTGGTCCGGCCACTTCATGCTGACGGTGCCGGACCGCGGCGCCTGCCTGGCCAAGCTGCGCGGCCTGGGGCTGGAGCGCTGCATCCTGAGCGAGGAGGCGGCGGTGATCCCGGTGCGCAACCCAGCCCCCGCCGGCTCCCAGACGCTGCAGGACATCGTGGCCGCAGTGGCTGACCTCGACGGCTACACCTGGCGCCTGGTGGAGGGCGCGGAGCGCGCCGCGGGTGGCGCTGGCGCGGGCCAGGACGATCGGATGGTGGCACTGGCGGCCCACGTCCCTGACCTGGGCGTGGCGCTGGCCTGGGTCTCGTCGGTGCTGGGCATGCCCACGCTGCACCAGTACCAGAGCTCTTCGGGTGCGTGCGGTTGGTTGGGAGGTTTTGCGCAGATGTCTCTTGGTTGACCGACTTTGGGAGGAGTGGGAGGGGGGTGGCTGGGGGGCCATCAATTGCAGCTGGCTGGGCCAGGACAATGCGTCCTTTGGGTGAAGATGGGGCTGCTGGGGGGCAGGGGGTGGCAGCTGCGGTGCACGGTGCTGTGCCATTATGTCTGTGGGGGCAGCATGCTTGTCCGGTGTGCATTCCAGGCCTACACAAACAGCCCTGGAGACCAAGAAATCCACATCCACGACCGCAGGCTACGCCACGGCGCTGGTGGGCTTCCCCCACGCCCAGCATGCCGGCTCAACGGGGCCCGCCCTGGAGCTCATCCAGGGCGACACGGCGGCACAGGCGGAGAGCGGGCTGGCGCACCTTGTCATCTCCACCTCGGACCTCCAGAAGACGGTGCAGCACCTGCAGGTGTGCTGGTTGGAGAGGAAGGAGTGGGTTATGCAGCTGTCACGGGAATGCTCATGCGGATGCTGAGTTGCAGGCGAGCAGTACCTCTCATGCTGCTGTGATGAAGCTAGGTTACTGGCTGCCCAGGGCAGCCCAGCTGGGAACCCCCAGGCACAATGGCATCTCTCCGTGATACAAGAATGGCTGTCTCAGGAAGTCAGTGCCAAACGCAGACCCCCCCCATTACTGTGCAACCACATGCAGCTGCTTCGACAGAGCGTCGAGGCGGTCCAGCTCGGTGCAATGGACGACCCCACCGGCCTCGTCAGCGCCGCCCGCATCAACGGACCTGGCAATCTCCGCTTCTGCTTCGTCCAGGCAGACGCCGCGTGACAAAACCCTGCAGGTGCCCAGCCTTCCACGTGACATGTAGGATGTCTTCCACTGACATAGCTTTTGAGTATGGAGGACTGATTGGGGCTGATACCTAGAATAGCATGAGAATATCCTGCAGGGATCATGACAGGCCAAGCACTGTGTGTGGACTGACTCGATTGGTGCCTTGCAATTTCTTGGGATAGCATTTTGGTATACCAGTGGGAGAGGAGGAATTCATTTTCGCTGCAGCATCTGTTATGACGTCCACGCCCAGCCACTCTGCAGCGACGGTGGTAGGATGATGGATGGCAGAGGGCATGGGCTTCACAGACGCTCCTGCTGCTTCCGTGTCGTACGTTCTCAAAGGGGAACCTGCAGCAGTTGGGCAAAATTCTTTGCCAGGCAGTAGCCTGGGGATATCTGGGCGGCAGCCCCAGCGATCCACGCTCCTCGCCACAGCATCCGCTCTCGCACACGCCAGCGCTCACTCCTCAGGCCCCAGCATCATCTTGCGGAGGAAGACCAGTTCGCTGTGTGCCAGCTTGTATTTGCGGTCAAACTGTTTCCTCACCACACTGCTGTTGGCGTGGGTGGCCTGCACGCCGTCAGGGAGGAGGGTTGGCTTGATTTGGCCAGCACCAATGAGACTGTGGCTCCATCAACCTGGGTGAGTAGCAGGCATGCATCGACTGCCTTGAGAAGGCCTGTCTGACAGTGCTCACCCCCCGCTCCCTCCCATACTTCACCTTGTGGTGGGCTGCCTCAACCAGAGCGCCCAGGTATGTGAGTTGCGTGAGAGTGGGCCGGTCCACGATCTGAGAGGAGAGAAACAGAGCCTGGTTGATGCTAGCCCCAGTGCAGGTGAAGCATCCCATGTAGGCATCCTCCGGCGAGTAGCAGCGATTGGGAGTCAAGCACCTCGCGAAAAGGTCCCTTCCCCCTTTCCTCCCAGCTCCACGCGTACCGAACGCTCGGCCTCCCAGAGCTGGAGGGCGAGGTTGAACACCGTGACAGTCTCCCCCCTCTGGATCTGCAGGGGTTTGAGGGGTAGAACCTCTGGAGCCATGTGCCTGTCAGATGCCCTCCAGTTAGCAGTCGGTCCAGCACCCCCACATCAAGAGCAACATGCTGCAAGCACCCCAGCCCCCGGCTGCGCCCGCCCCTCACATTGATGTTCAGCAGGGGCGTCAGCGCGTCAATCACCCTGGCGTGGAGGGGGTGCAGCCTCCCCGCCAGCCCAGCGCACAGGACCCGCAGGATCTGCTCCGACTGCGAGTAGGCCTGCGCATGCGAAGGAGTGGTCCGAGGATTGAGTTCTTGCTGTCACTCGAGAGTGACCAAAGGAATTGAGCGCCGGGGTCCACTGGCAGTGAGGCAGCAGGGCCCAAGGCCTATGATGCACTTTGAGTTCCCTCTGCATCCCCGAACCTTCCCCCCCCCGTCCACCTTCATGTTGTGCAGCATGAGCCCCTGCTGCCAGAGAAGGTCGGCGCGCTGCACCAGCTGCTGGGGCCCCAGGCCCTGCTCCGCGACCCCGGGGGCCACGCTGCCACAGCCGCAGCACTTCCACCACTTTCCCGGGAAGGTCAGGGGCGGTGGGGCGTGGTGGTGGTGGGAGTGGTCGCCGTGCCCGCCGCAGCACTGGCTGTGGTCTGCCGCCTGCGCCTCGGCTGCAGGCGGGGAGTCGGCCGCGCCGGGCCGAGGGGTGCTGGGCACAGACTCGTGGCCCGCCACGGGGGTCTCCTCGCCCGCAGGCATCCCTTCCTCCTCCACGTAGCCCGCTCCCGCGGCGCTGGCCCCTGGCGCGGCGCCGGCGGCGGCGCCGCCGCCGCCCGTCGCCTTCCTGCCCTTGTGCTTGCCGCCCCCCCGCCCCAAGCGGGCTGCGTGCGGCCCCGCCGCTCGCCGCTCGCGCTCGCACGCCTGGGCCTCGTACTCCGCCGCCGCGCTTTCCTGGTTGGCCGCCTCGACCAGCACATCGCGGCGGCAGGCCAGGCACCACACACCCTGCGCAAGGGGTCATGTGCCCGTGCAATTGAACCGGCAAGGAAGCTCTCCGGTCTGCACACGGGCTTCCGCGGCGGAGGTCGATCGCAGGTCGCGCACTGCCTGCTCGCACGGCTCCTGACGAGGGCTACCACCTCCTGGCCTCGGTTGACGAGCACAGTCCCCTCGTTTTGGTAAGCTGTGCAGTCAGCCCCTGCAGCCAACACGCAACGCACCTCCAGGAACCGGTCGCTGGAGGTGGCCAGGGGCGACACGCACCGCGTGCAGGCGCATGACACCCCGCGCTCCATCGCCAGGGTCTGCATCGTGCGGAGGTTTGGAGGCGCGTGACGTCGCGGAGGGGCTCGCGTGCAGGCTGAGGGGGCGACTGGCACGGAGGGGGCCGCGCCTCCAGACCATTGGGTCGGCGCCTCGCCGCACCGGTCCAGTCCACCCCACCCCACCAGCAGCAGCGTCGCTGCATGCCTCTGACTGCATCGCACCTGCTTCCTGACGCTGCGCGGCTCATACAGGGGGGCAAAGGAGAGCGTCAGGGGCTCGCCGGCCTTGATGGGGGTCACAGTCCGGACATACACGGTATCGCCTGGGAGGCAGGGGAAGGGGGGGGGGGAGGGGGGCGAAGGTGAGCGCAGTGAGCTGGCCCCCGGTTCTTCTGCGTCGCAGGTGCTCGCAATCCATTTCGGCAGGGCACCTGCAGAGCCCTGAGGGGCGCGCACACCGCAGGCGTGAAGCAGCCAAGCTGTGTGAGCGCCATGTCCTCCTTTCTCATGGTTTTGCTCGATCCCATGCCCTTCCCCTGCCGTCGCCGCACGCCCCCTTCCGGCGCAACCCCGATGCCAAGGGACGGGCGGATCGTGCCTGGCCCCCCCTCTCGCCTCCCCCCCCCTCCGTCACCTGCCGCTATCCAGATGCAGTTTGGCATGCAGGAGTGGGAGAAGGAGGCCAGGCCCGGGAACAGGGCCAGCCCGGCCTCGGTAGAGGGCCCCGTGCCCACAAGGTTGGTCGCCAGCATGGCCGCCCGGGCCTGCAGCTCCGGCAGCGTGCCGGGCGCGGCGTAGCCCGCCAGCTTCCCGCCAGCCGCCAGCGCCGCCAGCTCGGCGTGCACCGCCCGCAGCGCGGGGCCCAGGGCCCCACGCCAGGGCGCGGGGCGCTTGTCCCAGGAGGAGTGCAGGCAGGCCACATCCGCGGGCCCGCAGGCCACCACCAGCGGGGGCGGGGGCGGGGCGCCCGCGCCGGGCTCGGCCGGCGCGGGGCCTGGGGCCGGCGCGGCGGGGGCCCCTGTACACCCGTCCAAGTCCAGCAGGGCCACGAGGTGGAGCAGCTCGGGGTCCACACCGTGCTCCCTGGAAATGTCGGCCAGGCCGCGACGCAGCGGCAGCAGGTGACCATCGCGAAGGAGGCGCGGCGCAGCGCATGCCCGGCTGCAGTAGCGGGGCAGCAGCGGGTTGGAGGTGCCGTCCTCGGCGCCGCCGGGGCCCTTCTGGGCTTTTGCGGGCATCATGGGCTCCAGGCAGGCATGGCACACGTGGCTAGCAGTCCTGTGTGGAGGGGATACCGGGGGGGAGGAGACTGGGAGGGAGGGGCCCGCACATTTGGTGGTCAGCAATGAAGAATCAGAGGGGTCCAGGAGGGACGGCACTGGGCTTGTATTGGAGGGGTGACTTCCTTGCGTGATCACATGCGCAGTAAACAGCAAACAGAAGGCAAGATGGACCATGTGGTCGTACAGCTGCCTCGTGTCTTGATCATCGATCTGTGTGCCACCATGTGTGAGAGCACCCTGGAGCCCAAGCTTGCCATCCATGCACCTCACGCAGCCACGAGGCCATCACCAGGTGCCCCTCCAAAACCACATCTGCATCGCACCCTGAGCGTGGGATCAGCAGCAAAGCCCTCTCCTGCATGACGAGGCAGCCTGCAGGGAGGTCGGTGTCGGCGACGGCTGTGCGCCCCACGGCACGCCCACCGTGCCCGGGAGTCCAGGGCAGGGCATCCTGGACAGCGGCCACGGAGGGCAGGGTCTGCTGCTGCTTGGACGCCTGGTGCGGGGTTTGGTGGGGGCGGTCATGGCCATCAGGTTTGTAGAGACCCGGGAGAAGCCCGGTGCGTGATCAGCAGCAGGTTTGGATGGCTCGTTAAAATCCGCCAAATGTCTCAAAGCAAGTCAATCGGTGTCTTTGGAGGAATCACGCATGTGTCTTGTGTTGTTTGCTCGAGTTCATTACATCCCCGTCCCGCTCAGGAGTGAGTCACCAGCCGGCCGGGACTCCACCTTGGATTTCGCCGGGCTCTTTGGGTTTGGCGATGAGGTGCGCACCATGCTGCCTGTGTCAGTCGGAATACGGGGTTCAATGTGTTGAACTTTGGTATCCACGAGAATTGATGACAGGGTGATTCTCCGTGCTGGCCCTCGTGCCGGGGTGCAGTCAGTAATCCTTCGGCCTGCCACGCCACCGACCCGCACCTGTGCCGTACCCAGATCCCCAGAGACGGAATCTAGAATTTCAATATCGGCGCAGTATGATTTCGATAGGAGAGCTTCCACATCCTCCTCGTGAGAAGGCTTTGCTTTCTGTACGCATTGTGTGATGACGTGGCCGACTCGGCAACTGTGGACCGCCCAGCATGGTTCATCGCGCGCTAGCCATGATGCGCCCAAAACCCCTGCCCCAGCCGGCGCCTGGCCTCACACTGCTGAGTACCCCTGCCTGTTGTAGCTCAGGATAAAGAATCTGCATGCGCGACGCCGGCTCGCGCTGCACGACGGACGGGGTTTGTCCCACCAGGTCTCGCAACCCCCGCCAAGCATGGTCCTGATCGCGGCATGTCGCCCTGCCTCTCGGCCGCACGACTTCCCAGCCTGAGACCCTTGCCAGCCTGCACCAGGGCGGGACCAGGGGCTTTGCCGAGCCCCGTCCCGAGCATGAGGGTGATCTTTGTTACCACAGAGGTGGCGCCCTGGAGCAAGGTTGGGGGCCTGGCGGACGTCATGGGGGCGCTGCCCCCAGCCCTTGCAGCCAGGTGGGATGGAGTGGGTGGCCTGGTTCGGGCTGGCCATCCTGGCAAGTCTCAGGAACCCTGGCTTGGGCCAGTGCCGGAGTGCTTGTGGTTCAGCGGCAGGGCGGCCGCCGCCGGTCCATCGCGCTTGCCTGACCCCCCTTACCCTCCACACCCCCGTGCAGGGGCCATCAGGTGATGACCGTGTCCCCGCGGTATCAGGCAGCGGAGGATGTGCTGCCCACCGACCTCAGCGTCCCGCTGGACCTCCCCGCCCCCGAGGAGCGTGGCCCCGACGAGGGCGATGAGGAGGCCGATGAGGCCCTGGATACAACGGCGCGCCTGTTCCTGGCCCGGCAGGACGGCGTGGACCACGTCTTCGTGGACCACCCGCTCTTCCTGGCCGGCGGCGACATCTACAGCTGCGGCCCCTCCCTGGGGGTGACCACCTACATGGAGGCGGGGCAGGGCGCGGCCGCCGCGTCCCTGGACCTGCGGTACAGTGTGCTGTGTCAGGCCGCCCTCGCCGCCCCGCTCCTGCTCTGGGCGGCG